GGGGGAGGGGGGGAGGGGGCGGGGAGAAGGGTGCAACAATGAATGAATGGAATTCCAAAATCTCTGTAGATGTTCATTGAAATGAAAATAAAGAAATAAAGAAATACATACATACATACATACATACATACATACATACATACATACATACATACATACAAACCCAGCAATTGAAAGGAAAAGAAAATACATATTAAAAAAAGAAAAAAGAACTCCAGTGGGGCGGGGAAAGGAGAGAGGCAGAGTGGACAAGGATAGAAGGAGGAGAAATCACTGGATGGCAGACTTGGGTGGAAAGAGAGAAGGGATGGCTCTAGTGGGGACTAGAAAAGATGAGATGATGATGGACATAGATCAATGGTGATTAATTTTATAAAACATAGTGTTTGACAATGATTGTATGAAATAAAATGTCAATGAAGAATGTGTGAAGCATATTGTACATAAATGAAACACAATATATATGAATTTTATATGCAAACCAATATAAAATAAAAAATAACTTCTCACAAAAAATTTAAAAGGTACAAATTGTTAACTCCATGTGCAAAAATGTGTAACAAAATGTCAGCAATGAATCAATACCTATGATTAATCACACAAAATGTAAATAGTTAAACTCACCAGTTAAGAGATAGAATGACAGAATTAATAAAACATCCAGTTTGTAAAAGAAAAAGTTAAATAGTTATTTAAGCCCCTTTTTAGAGTCAATAACTCCTCCTAAAGGGCCCTTGTATTTAAAAATTGGGCCTGAGGGATTACATTTAATCCCTTGTTATTATATTTTTGGAGGAACATTTTTCTAAGTCGTAGAGCACTTTTGTCAATTTGTTGTGCTAAGGTAATCAGTAATTTTGTCAATTTGCTTGACACTGAACCTTGTGCTGTTGGGGTCTCAAATGCCATAATGGAACAACCGTGCCATATGTGTATCAAATACCACACTGGCTACCCATCGTGGGCAGTGTTTGGTGCAGTTCCCAGATTGATTCAGGTTTGGAAGCAGGAGTGGCATCCACTTCCTAAACCATGTGGCTCTGGAAACTCTATGAACTTGGAGAAACTATGATAGTGATAGAAAGGCTTCAGGCCTTTTGTTCATATATGTATATATGAAAGGCCTTTGTATTTAAAAGTTGATTGGGCCCAAGCATATAGTGTTAGTTTATTTTGGAGGAACATTCTTTTAAGTTGAACAGCACTCTTCTGTCAATTTGCTGTACTGAAGTAACCTGGGTTTGCTGTGATGATGAACCTTGTGCCACTGGGGGTCAAATGTCATAACAGCTACCCATGGTGGACAGTGTTTGGTGGAGTTCCTAGTTTAAGACAGGTTTGGAAGCAGGAGTGGCATCCACTTCCTAAACTACATGCCTCTGGAAACTCTATGAACTTGGATAAAGAACAATAGGTACAGAAAGGCTTCAGGCCTTTTGTCCTTGGGTTGCTATGAGTCATGCTCAACTTGATAGCAATCAACAGCAACAATCATAGCCTGATTAATTGATGGATTGGAAAGCAGTTAACGAGTGAGTTTCTTATGGAGTCCTAAAATTCCCTAAATGAATGTGTAACGCACTTGTTTGCTAACTGAAAAGTTGGGAGTCTCAGCTGACCCACACACACCTCTGAAGAAAAGTCTGGCTAAAAATCAAGTCATTGAAAGCTGTACTCTGACACACATGCAGTTATCACAAGTAAAAATCAGCTCTACAACGGCAACTGGTTTAATTTGATTGTTTTCCTCTTAAGATTCTGATACCATCGTCAATATCGAGCCTTTAACTGGTCATAATTATTAATAAACAAATTGTTATTAACCTTCATCCTACTAGCTTTTCAGAAGAAATGACTAGGTTCAGTTTTTGAGTCAGAGCCAAGGATCAAAACTCAGAAATAGCCACCACACTAACCAGATCACACGTGACCAAACTCTTGTTTCCATGCAGACTGTAGAAGCCTGAACGGAGCCCTGCAGTGTGCCTGTGAAGATGGCTACTCCTGGTTTCCTCCCACATGCCTTGATGCTCAGAAGTGCTACCTCTCCACGGCAGGACCACTCCAGAGCTGTCACTGTCACCTGGGCAACCTCAGCCAAAGTACAAATTTCTGTGAGAGAACAAGTAAGAATAAGAACACAGGTCACAAGGAGGAGGACTCTGCACTGCGGTCCCACAACATGAGGGGACTCTGGTTCTTTACCTATATATTATTACCCTCACCCCAGAAAAGATCAAGTGCTTACAGGTGGACTGAAGGGCAGTGATGGTATACTCTTTTAGTGTTAGCTGGACACAGAGCTTCATAAATACAGAGGTTTAGAAACTCGAGCTCCTTTAGGCCATCAGGTCTGCTTTGCTTACTTACGTCTGTTTCTGCAGCTTTATCATTCTTTTGAGATTTGGGGAGATTCACTGCATTCTGCAGTAAAGAAGCTATTTGAATAAATGACATGTTTCTTTCTAGCCTCTCACCATGTGTTTGTTTCCCAACACCAATTTTCAGAAAGGAAAATTTTGGAAATGTGAGGCAGGAGGAGTCTCCAGTGAATGAATTGAAACGAATGCTGAAAAATTTCCAACAAACATATGTATTGAACCAATGTAAAATTAAAAAAAAAGAAAAAATTTTAAAAAGAACACCCCACGTGGATATTGAATGCATTTTCAAAATCAAGCACACATTAGAAGTCTAGGAAGCTAGTGGAAGCAGAAGGAGCTATGATTGACATAGATTCGTGTTTAGTGGATGACAAAGTAGGTTACAGGTCTGAAGATTCTCCCAAGGACACTCCTAGCCATTTTGAAACTCTAGACTTGAAAAGAGTTAAGAAAAGTGTGAGGGAAGAACTTGAAACAATTCAGCTTTATTAAGCATGCTGAGTTCTCCTTCCCAAGTCCCTGGTAATTCAGATTAAGGCAACACATTAATCTTATTACTATCTTCACACCAAGTTCTGGGGCAAATTCTTGGACACAGAGAGGCAATCTCTGATGTGTCCCAATACAGAAAAGCACCAGCAATGGGTAAGGTAGGGATACGTTGGGAACTAGTAAATAGTGATATTTTTTCCTTTTATATCTCAAATGTTTAAGGATGATGTTGAGGGGAAATGTCTAAGCTGTATAGCTGGATTAAGATATATTCTAGTGTTAAGAGATTCTCTTTTTTTTGCCACATGAGTGGTGTCTACACATTCTCCTACTTGTATCTTTGAAAACCATGGTTTGATGTGTGCTTTCCACATAATTTAAAGTCAAAATGCCTTACTAAAATACCACTGGTTGAATACATGGATTCTTAATTGTACCTTTATCATTTCATGATGCAGTCAGGAAATAAGGAGACACATTGCACTGGGAAAATCTTCAGTTAGGGACCTTTCCAAATTATTGAGGAGTAGTGATGTCAATGTGAGGACTAAGGTGAGTCTGACTCAGGCCTTAGTCTTTCCAATTACTAGCTGTGCCTCTAAGACCTGGACAATGAATAAAGATAACAAAAAGAATTGATATGTTTGATCTGTGGTGTTGGAGAAGAGCACTGACCATTCCATGGACGGCCAAGGGAACCAATAGATATATAGTGGAGAAGGTGCTGCCAGGGTGCTCTTTGGAGGCAAGAATGATGAGGCTTTGCCTCACATACTTTGGGCACATGTTACTAGGAGGGGCTATTCTTTGGAGAAGGACATGATGTTGGGAAGGATGGAGGTTTTGGAAAGGAGATGAAGGCCCTCAACCAGGTGGATTGACACAGCAACTGCTGCAATGGGCTGTTGTGTGTCAGGAAGTGAGGATGATGTAGGACAGGACTGGGCTCAGATCTTTTGTTTATTGGGCCACTGTGAATCGTTCTTGACCCAACGGCTCCTAACAATAACAACATTTCATGCTGCAGTCCTGAGTTGGTACAAACAGGCTTTGCTCATAACCAAAAGGCTTGAGTCTACACAGAGGTGTCTTGAAAGAAAGGCATGGCAATCTACTTATGAGAAATCAGCCATGGGAAACATACTGGTGGTGGTAGTTTTTAGGTGCCATCGAATTGCGCATTACTCATAGTGACTCTATGAACAATAGAGCTGAACCCTGTACTACTGTGCCATCCCTATCATCTCTGATACACTTTAGCCCATTGCTGCAATCACTGTCAATCCATCTCACTAAGGGTCTTCCTTTCACTTGCTGATTCTCTACCTTTCTAAGCATGATGTGCCTTTCTAAGAAAGAGTCTCTCCTGATACCATGTCCAAACTATGTGAGATGAAGCATCACCATTCTTGGCTTCTAATGAGTCATCTGATTGCACTTTCTCCAAGACATACATGTTTGCTCCTCTGGTGTTCAGCACTCTTCACCACCACCATCATCTCAACTGCATCTGTTCTTCTCCTGTCATTCTTAGTCATTGTCTAGCTCTCAGATGCCTAGCCAGTGACTGGAAAGACTCTGACTTGAATCAGGCATCGACTTTGTGGAGTACAACCCTATTCCACTAAGCATGGGGTCACTATAAGGGGAGTCAGCTTAATGCCAACTTAAAAACATTTATACTACTAATTCAGTAATTTTTAAAATATTTTTTTCTCACAGAGATTTGGGGCACTTTCAAAATTAATGAAAAATTTACAAAAGATCTTTTGAATTCATCTTCTGCTATATACTCCAAATATACAACTGGGATTGAAACTCAAGTAAGCATTTTTCATTTGTTGCTTAAGAAATTACTTGCTTAACATAAAATGACTTTAGCTTAACTTGTTTATTTAATACAAATACTTTAGTATTGATTTTCAGTGAATTGTTATAGAACAACCACTTACTCTGCCTATAGTAGGCATTTTTAGCATTTTATTTCTACAAGAATTTGGCAGTTGGCTTAATTTCACTTTCTTGTGTTTGCCTTTGTCCAACAGGGTAATATCATACTATAGTTGTTGTTGTGTTCCATTAAGTCAGAACCAACCCAGAGTTGACCCTCTAGTGGGTTTTCAGAGGCACTAAAGAGCATGGGAAGAGATTTCTCCTTCTCACACAATATCATATTAAAGCTTCTTTGTTACATTATGGGTCTTATCAAAGAATATTTTCACGAGTTAGCTTCATAAAGTTAATTACATCTAGAATTTATTCTGTAAGATCTCTCTTCTCAGGAGCTAAAGTGAGCTAAATATGACATTGTAGTGGAGTAGTAAAAACTAGATCAGCATAACTCTTAGTATGTTAGTTGAGGTAGTTTTAACTGATATATATATAAATATAAATATATAAATACATAAAGATATAAATATATAAATATATACAGCCAGTATAAATGCTTATGAATATTAGTGGATTATTTTTAGGAGAAAAGGATTTGGTGTGAATTTACTATATTACCTGGCACCAAATTCATGTCTGATTTGAACCAGCAGTTTACTCGTTCTTTTTAGGAGCCTCTAAAATAAGTGTTAGCATTTGTATGCATTTGTTGTAGTGACATGCAACCCCTCCCCCTTAAATCTGTTTATTTTGCTCAGCTGTTCCATTGATTTACTTAACTGTTTTTATACTCATATTTTGCTCAAATGCTTTTGCCAAGTGTTTGGCCAAATATCAGCATATTGCCCTTTTCTTCTCTTTGTAAGCTTAAAGAAGTATACAAAGGAGTTCAAGGTTTTGAGTTGGTCCGGGTCACCCAATTTCGGTAAGTAACACAATGGGCTTAGAAGGGCATCCCTGAATTGTATATCAGCCTTGCAGAATTCCCCATGTGGCTACCAAGTGACCTTGAGAGAAGCTGCAAAATCTGGTAGGATTCTTAGAAACACAGGGCTCTGTATGATGAGTTAAAATGTCTCAAGACTAAAACCTAGGTTTTAATGTAAATGAATTGATTGTTGGTATTGTTATACGTCATGCTGCTATCATTCAAATATATGCACCAACAACTAGATCCAAAGAGGAGGAAATAGATTATTTCTACCAACTTTTGCAGCCAGAAACTGATTGAGCCTGCAATCAAGAAACATTAATAATAATAGGTGATTGGAATGCAAAAGATGAGAAAAGGGAAGAAGAATCAGTAATCAAACAACATGGACTTGGTGACAGAAATGAGGGTATAAGTGGAATGATAGAGTTCTTTAAAATCAATGATTTATTTACTCATTGCAAATACCTTTTATAAGAAACATAAATGGCCACTATATACACAGACTTCACCTAATGGTATACATGGGGACCAGATTGATTAAATCTCTGGAAAGAATCAGTATCAGTTGTGAAAACTAGGCCAGGTGAAGATTGTGGAACAGATGATAAGCTACTCATTTGAAGTTCAAATTAAAGCTAAAGAAAGTTAAAGCAAATCCACAGAACCCAAAATTTGACCTTGAGTCTATTACACCTGAATAGACTCAAGGAACAGAATCAAGACCCTGAACACTAATGAATGAAGACCAGATGAGCGATGGGATTATATCAAGAATATTATCCATGATGAATGCAAAAGGCAATTACAAAGACAAAGGAGGAAGAAAAGAGCAAGATGGATGTCAGAAGAGAATAAATATTTCACTGGAGTGCCAAGAAGCCAAAGCAAAGTGAAGAAAACAAAAAATTAAAGAGCAGAATAGAAGATTTCAAAGGACAGCTCAGGAAGACAAAGCAAAGTAATATAGTGAAATATGCAAAGAGCTGGAGTTGGAAAAATCAAGAGGGCCAGACTTGTTCAGCATTTCTTAAGCTAAAGGAACTGAAGAACAAATTCAAGCTTCAAGTTGCAGAACTTAAGAATGTCATGGGCAAAATATTGAATGATCCAGGAAGCATTACAAGAACAATAAAAGTGCATAAAGAGTCACTGTATCAAAAAGTACTGGCTGACACAGAAGAAGTTCATGAAGTAACATTTGATCAATAGGCAATGTGATAAAGTAGGAAGTTCAAACAACTCTGAAGGAATTGGCAAAAATCAAGGCCCCAGAAATTTATGGAGTACCAACTGCCATATTTCAACAAACAGATGTTGCCTTGTGCTCACCAGGTTGTGCCAAGATATATGGAGAACAACTTCCTGGCCCACTGACTGGAAGAGATATACATTTATTCTCATTCCAAAAAAAGGTGATCTGATAGAGTGTGGAAATTATCGAACAATATCATTAATATCACATGCAAGCAAAGTCCTGCTGAACACTATCCAAAAATGACTGGAACAGTAAGTACTTTTACAGAGAACTACTAGAAATACAGTCCAGGTTTAGAAGAGGCCATGCTTCTAGAGACGGTATCACCAATGCCAGATGGGTCTTGGCTAAAAGGAAATTGTGCCAGAGAAGAGTATATCTGTGTTTCATTGGCCATGCAAAGCCATTTGACTGTGTGGATTACAACAAATTGAGGCTAATCTTAAGAAGAACGGGAATCCCAGAACACTAGATTGTGCTCATGTGAATCCTATACTTGGACCAGGAAACAGTAGTCAGAACAGAGCAAGGAAACACTGCAAGTCCCAAAATCAGGAAAAGAGGGCATCAGAGATGTGTCCTATCTCCATGCCTTTTCAATCTTTATGCAGAATAGATCATTCGGGAGAGTAGATTTTATGAGTAGGAATGTGGCATCAGGATTGTCTAAAGATTCATCCACAACCTGTGTTATACAGATAATACAACCTTGCTTACTGAAACTGAGAAGGGCATGAAACATTTGCTGCAGAAGGTCAAGGACTTTAGTCTTCAATATGGATCAAAGCTCAACATCAAGAAGACAATGATTCTTACCACTAAGCCAATTGTCAGCACCATGATAGATGCAGAAGAGATTGAAGTTGATAACAATCTCAACTTTCTCAGCTACGCAATGAACACTCTGGGCATCAGCCTTCAGGAAATCAAAAGATAAATTGCACTGGAGAAGTATGCTATCAGAGACCTCTTCAAAGTGCTAAAGAGCAATGATGTCAGTCTAGAGTTCAAGGTGTGCCTGATCTATGCCATGGTCTTCACAATTACTTGCTATACAACATAGAGCTGGACAATGGCTAAGGATGCCAGAAGAAAAATCAATGTCTTTGAGTTGTGATACTGGAGAAGAGCATTGAACATACCAAAGACTGCCAAGGGAACAAACAAATCTGTCTTTGAGAGGGTGAAACCAAGTTTCTCCTTGAAGGCAAGGAGTTTGAAGGTCTGTCTCACATTCTTTGGGCACATGGCAAGGAGGGACCAGTCCTTGGAGAAGAACATCATGCTTGGAAGGGCAGAAGGACAGCTCAGGAGAAGACCCTGGATGAGATGGATTGACACAGTGGCTGGAATAATGGTGGTAGGTGTGTCAGAGTCAGTGAGACTGGCTCAGGATAGGGCAGGCTTCAGAGCTTATGTACAAAGGGTTGCTATGAGTTGTAGGCCACTCGATACACAACGACAACATTAAATTAGAAGTGATTCATAGCTGATCCTCTTGTGGGTTTTCAGAGACTGTAAATTGTGTAGTCAGAGATTGCTCGTCTTTCTCCTATGAAGCAGCTAGTAGATTTGAACCAACTGCCTTTGGGTTGGCAGCACAACTCCTTACCCACCATATTAACAGAGCTTCCTTAAATGAATTTTGAAACGTAAATATTGAAGATAATCCTCCAAGATGTCAGTCAGAGACTAAGATACCAGAACTGAAAACCCATAGTAGTAGAACAGAACCTGAGGAGAACAAGATTAAATCTGGGAGTTCCAGGTGCAGTCACCTCACTCAGCTCATGAGATATAAGAAATTCAAGCTCACCCAAAAGGCCCTGGGAGGAAAGAGCTGGCTATCTACGTCTGAAAGGTATTCCATTGACAGCCTCTTGAGCACAGCCCTACTCTGACACACCACATGTACGATCACCATGAGTCAGCATTGACATGATAGCAACTTAAACAAAAATATGGGAAGAGGTGCAGGGTGAGGTAGAAGGTTACGGGTTGTGAAAGGACAGATTTTTCTCCCCCATAAACACAGGGAGTATTATTATGTATGACTTGGAACTAGAGGTGAGGCCTTGGGTAAAATCTATTTCTGTGTACATATACATACATCATAGTTCAAAACTCAATAGTCATTGTTTACAGCAAGGAAAGAAATATTTAGTAAATTGTCTTTTTTTATGCTGTAATTCTAAATGTTATTTGCTTAGCTAACCATGTGTGCCTTGATTACCAACTATTAAAACTTGATAAAGGAGGTGATTTAAAGATCAGGTAACTGTGAAAGGTAAAAAACAAAGCAAAAAACAAACACAAAAAGCCCCACCAAACCAGTCATGGGAAAATTTCTTCAGTATTTTTTTGAAATGTATTGCCTTTGACATTGTTCTTTAAATTATCACATGTTCTTATATAAGCCTTTTCATTGGTCATTTTCTTCAAAATGAAATGCTAGGGGAAAAGACTTTTTCTCCCACTTATATGAAAGTCTAAATAATTAAGTTTTGAGTTTATCATCAAAGGATAAAATTGAATCTCAGACACACTTTATTTTTAATTCAATGTTCATTTTTTAATTTTCCCTTGTCTTGGTTATTCCTATGTCTAACTTCTATTTAATTATATCTATTTTATAAGCTGTCTCAAGTATTTTGTAGTCAAAATCACAGCAAAATAGGCATAAACCTAAAATCAATTATTTAAGTTTTACTCTCTGCATATATGATTTAAAATGAATCTTGAGTTGTCTTTGCCACAATATGTTTCTATATCAAATGGGGCTGTTAATATACACTGACCGACTTAATCTCATTCAGTCAAATGAGATATTGTATAGGAAACTTAACCATTCAACTCCTTACCAGAACTGACTCATAGCTGACTCTCCAGGGGGGGATTTGGAAGCTGTAAATAGAACAGAAGGAAATTGGCCATTTTTCTCCTGAGAAATCTGACCAATTCAAATCCCCAGAGAGATTCTGCCTTTGTTAACAGCACAACTCCCTACAGACTATATCACCAGAGGTCCCGAGAATCTATAAATAAATCCTCATATCTCAAGAATCTAAAAATAAATCCAAATATCTTTTAGTTTTTTTATTTCCATTCATTCATTGTTGCACTTTTCTCTCTGCCCACCCCTCCCCCCAGTTAGCTTTTTCTTTCTGAAAAGTAAAAAAAAAAAATAATCTTTCATTGTTATTCAATCCCTCCCCCAAGTCCATTCCTCTATGCTACCTTCGTTCTGGACTGCAGTCATAACAATAATATCTAATCATATATCCCTTTAAGACAGTTTTCATGCAATCCTGTTTATGATAATTTTGCATCAAAACGGTACATCTGTAGTGTTAGCAAAGTCTTTTTCTCCAGCAGGGAGATCTGATGGCCTAGTCAGTAGAGTGTTGCACTGTTAACCTAAAGATCACACCTTTGGTGGTTCGAGTCCACTGAGAGCTCTGAAGAAGAAAGATGGGCAGTCTCCTCCTTTTGTAATCTGTATCCTGAAAAGCCCACTGGAGAGTCAACAGTGAATTGAGTTGTTAAGCTTCCTATATAGTATTTCATTTGATTGAATAAGATAAAGTTAGTGAAAACCACACTGGAGAGTCTGCTGTGAAATCATTTCCTACTTGAAGGTAATTACAGAGATACACTACGAGTGGTAAATCCAACATAGTAACTAAGAAATTGAATGTTGAAAGTTTGGATCCAATAACTCATATTTCTGTGACCCAGAGCTGGTCTTCTATTGGCTCAGACCACACCTTAGAACCATGTTATATTTTATTCTTTTTCTTGAGATATACTTCACACACATAAATATGAAAAAGGAGTCCTGGCGGTGAAATGTTTAAAGTGCTAGGCTGTTAACTGAAAGGTTGGCCGTTAGAACCCGCCAGCTACTCTGTGGGAATGTGGAATTCTGCTTCAATGAAGACTTACAGCCTTGAACACTCTATTGGACAGTTCTATTTCGTTCTAAATATAAGGTTGCTGTATGTCAGAATCAATGATAGTGGGTGGTAATAACATACTCAAAGCCTAGGTGAACTGCTATTCTAAAAATTTCTGTTTTATATTAGTTTGCTTATAAAGTTGGTATATATTGTTTCACACTGTTCTTCATTCACATTGTGTTTCATACAATCATTCCTATTCATTATGTTTTATAAAATTAGTCACCAGAAGGCAGAAGATATATGTTGATACAGAGACATTTGAAGAGCTACAGGAGAAAGTACAAATGATGGAAGAAACAATGGAAGCTGCAAATAGGGGAAATGGCTAAGAACTGATGTTTGTGATAAAAACTTGTTTAAATAATTTCCTATCTAGATATTTCCTTCACACTAAAGGTCCTCTTGCACCCTTTCCCAGTGAATTTTCACACCCTTATGTACCCAAAACAACCACTGACCTGGTTTCTATCACCATAGGTTAGTTTTGTTGGTGTAAATATATATAAAGTGAATAATAAAATATGGACTTTGGTTTGCTTAACTTTTTTAATTTGACGTAACAGTCTTTGCTATTCTGAGTAACAGTGGCTTGTGACTTTTCATTGTCAAAGAGTATTGTTGTTGTTGTTACATGCTGCCAGGTCGAGTATGCCTTTATGTGAAAAACAGATTAGAACCCTGTTCTATCCTGTGTCATCCTCACAATCTTTGCCTCAGTCTAGCCCCTTGCTGGAGTATCTGCATCAATCCATCTCACTTGGCGCCTTCTCTTTTGCTGACTCTCCATCTTGCATGTATAAATATATCATGATTTGCTTTTGTGTTCCTTAGAGTAATTCTCAACTGTTTTCTTTTTCTCATATCCCTTTTCTTGTGCCTGCTCCATTAGCAAGTTTCATTATGGCACCTTTTTCAAGTTGCAATGTGAATCTTTCCTTTTCATCTCTATACTGCTGCCCAACCAGCTCAGGCCACCATTCTCTCCATTTTTAAGCAGTCTTCTAACTTCTCTGATTGCCTTTTTTTTGTCTGTTTTCTACGAAGCAACTAAACTGGTAATCTTAAAAAGAAATATGATCATATGACTCTTTTTTATTGTTAGGTATTGTTAAGTATGACTCATACTGACCCTCTGAATAACAGATCTGAACTCTGCTTTATTCTATTCAATCTCCATAATATCTGACATGCTCGAGTCCACTGGTGCAGTCCCCCATGTCGATTCAGCTTGTTGAGAGTCTTCCTTTCTTTTGATGGCGCTCCACCTTTCCAATCACAATGTCCTTTTAAGGAAGAACCTCTCCTAGCAATACGCCCAAAGTATGTGAGACAAAGCTTTGTCATCTCTACCTCCAAGGTACATTCTGGCTACACTTTCTCTAAGACATATTTGTTCATTTGGCAGTCCATTGAATATTCGATACTATCCTCCAATATGACAGTTAAAGGCACCAATTCTTCTGATCCTTATTCAGTGTGCAGCTCTCAGAGGCATAGCAAGTGATTGAAAAGACTGTGGCCAGAATCAGGTGCACCTTAGTCTTAAAAGTGACATCATTGCGACATAGTAATTTGGAAAGATCCATGAAAGAGGACTCGCCCAATGCAATCCATCTCCTGATCACCTGAGTACTGGCACGAAAGGTGTTGACTATGAATCCAAGTAAGACAATAATTGGCAATTTTAATCTTTTCTCCAGCTATCATGATGTTGCTTATCCATCCAGCGGTGAAGATATTTTAATAGAAACTAAAATCCAAACTGTAAGAGTTTACATAATTGGGATTATCTCTTCTTACTGCCTTCTTTGCTTGTTAAATTTAAATCATATACCATGGAGTCGCTATGAGTCGCAGGCGACTCAACGGCACATAACAACAACAACAACCATGGACTGCTAAGAGAACAAACAGGTTTGTCCTAAAGAGCGTTAAACCAGGCAGAATCCTTAGAGGCAAGGATTCTGAAGCTTCATCTGACATACTCTGGACACGTTGCAAGGAGGGACCAGTCCTTGGAGAGGAACGTCACACTTGGGAGGGTGGAGGGACAGCGCAAGAGAGGAAGACCCTCGATGAGATGGATTGATTCAGTGACCGGGGTAATGGCGGTAGATGTGTCAGAGACAGTGAGATTGGCACAGGATAGAGCAGGGTTTAGGGCTATTGTACATAGGGTCATTATGAGTCACAGGTGACTCGAGGGCACATAACACCAACTAGCCTTTAAGTAGATGAGACTCACAGGCATTTTCCTGACCCAGGATCCCAGAGCTATTCTCTCTGGGAATGGCATGATAACCCTGTGCTCTTTTTATCGTGAAACTGTTATTGTCATCGTTTTGGTCTCAGTTTCAAATATTCTTTTTACAGAGAATCAACCTTCCCTGACCATCCCCCTCTTTAAGTGGGGCCTCACCTCTAACTGCTGTTCTTCTCATTGCAACTGCACGTTGCTCTCATGAACACTTAACAAAATTTATAATTCTATACAGTTGTTCCTCATTATTCGCCAAGTTAATATTTGTGACTGATCTACTCAGTACATTTATTTGTAATCTCAAAGCAATGCCCACGGCACTTTCACAGTCATGCGCAGTGGATGCAGAGCTGAGTTGTTGACTTCCTCTTTCCCAGGTGAGGGTAAAAAAAGGTGATTCTCTGCCTTCATGTCTCATATGGAATGTAAGTGTCTTTTTCACGATCTGTTTCTCAAATTCTGGTCCTCAAGTGAGGACTGACTCATAGCTGACCCTCCAGCGGGCATCCAAGATTGTAGATCACGTTGTAGGATGTTGCCCGTCTTTCTCCAATCAAGTGGCTGCTAGATTGAACGGCCAGAGAGGTCCCTATGCTTTCTTTAGTGCCATGTTCCTCACATTATTGTTGATTGGTGATGCTGTTTTTTAAAAAGGCCCCCATAAATACTACTGAAAAGTTTCCCTAACATTCCTAAGCACAGCAAGGTTGTGATGTGCCCTTCAGAGGAAATCCATTGTTCATTAGAGGAGCTTTGTTCTGGGATAAACATAAAGGTATTGACTGTGAGTTCAGCATTATTGAATCAACAATATATATTTAAAAGGCATCTTTAAACTGAAATAGGCACACAACCAAGACTAGTGACAGAGTAAAAATTGATAAAAATCTTGTGAACAGAGGTTCATAGGAACCTACCCTTGTGTTTTCCCTAGGATCAATGACTCAGCTTTCACTAATTCAGTGTTACGATGGTTTTATAAAACTTAACAATGGAAAATCACTCTCAGCTGTCTGGTTTTGGTGGTAACTTGCTTCTTGTCTTTTCTGGTAGAATGCAAACTTTATGTAGGCAGAAATCAAATCTGTTTACCTTATTCATGTGTCCCAATGTCATATGCACACAAGGTGTAGGCACTGAGTGGTGGAATGAATGAACAGATAAATTAATCTCTTCCCCCTCACCCCCATGTGCTCATTGTAGGGAAGGAAGCATCGTTGTTGGATATGAAGTCATTGGCTCCAGCAGCCCATCTAAGCTGCTGTCAGCCATTGAACAGGAGACTGAAAAGGCTAAGACAGCCCTCCGCAAGCTCTTTCCACTAGATGATGACTCTTTCAAAGTGTTTGGAAAAGGTAATTCTGAATTCCCACTCTCTGCTTAGGTTATGTTTTTGTTGTCTACCGTGGAGTCAGAACTGCCCCATCGCTGACCCTCATGCAGGTTTTCAGGGGCAGTTAATCACACTGGAGTTGACTGCCCATCCTTCCTCCATAGACCAGCTGGTGGCCTCAAACTGGGTGCCTTCAGGGATTGCAGCACAGCTTCTTGCCACTATTTAAGTCCTTTTCATAAGTAGCTCAGTTTCACCCTCAGAGAATAGAGTGGAGATATTTACAGTACAGAATAGTTTTGAAATTGACTTTTTTTTTAGAAACAAGCAGCTGTTCCCATCCACTCTCCAGCATGATAATGAAACCCAGCTTCTACTGCCTATTTCAGATCCTTACTAATCAGGAATCCAATCTCCACTCCTTAGTGTAAACATTGTGGGAGACTGGTTTCCCTGAAGGCTGTGATGGAAATGATTCAGCAATAGTTTACTGTTACACATGTTCAAGAGCCCCAGTACTGATAATGTTTCTAAATAATAATTAAAAGAACCTGGAAAAGAATACTCCTTCAGAGTGTTTAGAGAAGGCAACGCAGAGCACCCCCCCCCCACTATTTTACCTTAGATAGTGTTCTTTTCATTTTACTCCTTGTTGTTGTATTGTCAAGTGTTAACTGACTTATAGCTGACCCTCCAGTAGGTTTTCAGAGGCAGTAAAATACACAGAAAGAGATTACTCATCCTTCTCCTTTCAAAATTAGTACTGTTTTCTTTCAGCAACATGTATTCAACAAATAATATACTAAGTGTTTAAGATGTACCAAACTGGGCTCCAGGCATCTAGGACATAAGGCAGGCCTCAGATCTTTTGTCCACAGGATTTCTATGAGTTGCTACTGGACTTGAGGGCATCGAACAACAACAATGAGGAGATGAAACAAAAATCACACCCCTTGTGGAATTTCTATTTAATGCTCCTATCTCCTGGTCCTAATCTGGTCAGACTGTGCAACCAAGGCAGCTGTGGTGAGAACTAGTGACTAATCACATAGGGGAAATTTTGAAAGGTACAAACTAGCAATTGTCCATCTTCTGACCATACCCTATAGTTCTGTCCTAGGATCTCAAAGCTTTTCTAGAATTCCCTTGTAGAGTAAGACTATTTCCTGAGAATCCTCACACACTGTGCTCTATTTTAACCTATCAGTACTGCACAGCCCATTGAAAGTGAGCGTGTTGACCTATGATACCTGGGATGAATGAGAGAGACAAGACTTGGTGTCAGGAAAGAAAAAAAAAAGGTGCTGATGGGGGAGCATCCACTCAACAAAGCCAAATTTCTCCAACTCCTCAATTATTCCTGGGCTGTGTCTCTAAAAAGATAACTTGTCTCTACAAACCAGACTTTGGAAAAAGTCATGATGCTGGGAAAGGTGGAGGGTCAGAGAAATAGAGGAAGACCCTTAACAAGAAGGATAGACACAGTGATGGCAGTGAGGATCTTGCAGAATATGGTAAGGATCAGGTCTTTTGTTCATAGGGTCACTAGGAGTTGTAGTTGACTTGATGGCGTTTAACAACAACAGTAATAGATGGTTTACATAGAGGATCAGAGTACTCTAGAGTCATTTCCCCTCTGTCTCCTTCCCACCTCCAGCTGAGTGTAACAGCGTGATCTTTGGATTTGGGTTCCAGAATGACGAGCATACCCTGCCCTGCAGTCGTGGCTACATTGGAGACATCACAGCCAGGTGCCAGGCCTCTGGATGGCAGGTGATCAGGGAGACCTGTGTGCTCTCCAAGCTGGAGGAACTCAAGAAGGTGAGGCTTCCCCACCTGGTAGACCAGTCATAGTTCTGAGTTTCACAGTGAACACGTTTCAGTGAGCACAGCCAGGTAGATGCATAAAATGCATCCATTTGTAACTTTAGTGAGTGTACAGAATGCCAGATGACAATGAAAAGAATTTGAAGTCCTTTATCATAGAGTTGAACCCAACTTTTGGAGAAACCATGTATTCCAGAGTAGAACTGCATCCCATAGGATTTTCAGAGTGAAAATAGACAAGACTTTGTTTTCTAGAATTCACATGCCTTTTTGTTCTTAGAATTTCAGTGCAATCGCAAGCAATGCCACAGAGGCAGCCATGTCGTCGTTGGTTCGGAAGCTTTCTGTCATCATTGACCAAAACCCATCCACCACCGTGGGGAATCTAGCTTCGGTGGTGTCGATTCTGGGAAATGTGTCGACCCTGTCCCTGGCAAGTCATTTCAAGGTGTCCAATTCAACCATTGAGGTATCGTCTGCCTGTACTTAAGCCATTCACCTTGAATGTGTGACCTCACAGGTTGTTCTTGGTGTTGGGCACTGTGGAGTTGATTCTGATTCCTAGTAATCCTACACACAACAGAACAAAAGGCCACTCGTATTGCCCTATCTGAGCTCATTGTTGCAGCCAGTGAGTCAGTCCATCTCATGAGCATCTTCTTTCTTACTGACTTACGACTTCATCATAATGCCCTTCTCCAGGGACTATTCAATCCCTCCTGATAATGTTTCCAAACTGAGTGAGACAAGGTCTCAACAGTCTTGCTTCTGCGTAGTATTCTGGCTAGTCTTTTTCCAAAACAGACTTGTTTGTCCTTCTAGAAGTAGATGCTATATTAAATAGTCTTCACCAAAACCATAATGCAAAGGCATCAATTCCTTGGTCTTCTTTATTCATTGTCCAGCATGTACGTTCACAGGAGGTAAGGAAATGTACTACAGGAGGGTGAGAAAGGCTGAATGGTGTGGAAACTCTTATAAAAAAGGTTGAAGAGTTATGCTAGCAGTCATAATGCAAGTCTCACCGCTTTCTCTGCAGGGCACAAAGAATTCAGTGTCTGACCTGTTATGTGATTTCACAGTCAGGGGGCACTCCCTCCAGGCAGGTTGCCCAGGTGACATTCATTGGTTTAGAGGAAGGGATGAACCTTTGCATAGTTTGACTCAAGTGCTAACATTTTCATAGACATCTTGTCATTTAACATTTTATATTTCCTATAACCATAAGCTCTGGTTTTTAGTTGTATGTCTAATTTTTTTTCAAATCCCTCCCCAGGGTTAGGAATGAAAGATTAAACGTGAACACTTAAAAATTAACATTAAAACTATGCAAATAATATCTGATCACATAAGTAATGCAAAAAGCTGAAAGAAAAAGAATTTCTGGCCTAGTGGCAAGAAGCTGCGCTGCAATTCTGAAGGCACACAGTTCAAATCTGCCAGCGGCTCTGCGGGAGAGGGATGGACAGTCTCCTCTTGTGTGATCAAATGGCCTCTGAAAACCAGCTGGAGCGTCAGCTGTGGTTTGATTCTGACTCAACAGCACACAGCAACCTGCATCGTAGTCACCATAGAATATCCACTGTTCACATTTTAGGCATCTGTAGTCTACAGTAAGTTACAATGCCTGATCAAAGACTGCACAGCTCTGGAAGTCGAGTCCAGCTCCTGAGAAGAAAGATTGGGGTGGTGGTGGGGTCTCCCATTACGATTTACAATCTTGGAAACTCAGCTAGGAGTCACCGTGAGTTAGAAATGATTCAAAGGCAATTAGAGTTTGAGTTCTGAGTACTGAGAAAAAGAACAAATGGCACATAGCGGTCACTCAGTCAATACTTGTTAAATATTCTAAATGTTTTAGATAGATACATAATACAAAGCAGAATATATTTTACATATAAGACACAAATATTGCAAAATTGCATTATGAATCATCCATCGGGTTGCATATTCACATATGGGTAGTTAGCTGTCTATAGTAAAGAGTGCATCACAGATGACATTAAATATGAGTAAGTTAGCTTCGCCAGATGAGAGAAATGCTTCTCAGATTTATTTTGAGAGATAAATCAGACCAGAAATAAAAGGTGGCCCATGTTGTTTACAGGAGACCAAACTAAAACAGAATGGGCTAACGGCAAAAGAGAAACAAAGAGTAGAAACAGCAGGCAAGTGTAATCTAGAAGAAAGAAGAAGTTAGTAGAACCATAGAAGAGGCGCTCGGGGGACTGGACCAGGAGCCACAAAGAGCATCTCAGGGTTAGAACTGAGAGACACTGGAGGTCAAATGCTGAGCCCTCAAGGGATAAGCAAGCAAAGAAGCATCCTGTGGGAATTTCTTGGGAAAGACAAACTAAGAAAGTAAAAAAAACAAAACAAGTGTGCATTTCCTTATAACCCCACAGTTACCCTCAAATTGAAGTCAATTTCATCTTATGACCACCCCATGGGAATCATAGCAGAACTATGCTCCACAGGTTTTCAGAAGTTGCTTTTTTAAAAAAGTAAACAGCCAGGCCTCTCTTCTGAGTTACCTCAGTTTGGATTCCAAACTAAACACTTTCGATCAGTCACTGAGCACATGAATTGTTAGCACCACACAGAGAGAAGCAAACTAAGGTTTTGACTTTGGAAGCCCCATACTTCCTTGTTGTTCAGGCTCAGTTTTTAAGGATTTTTGCTTTATTAACTAATAAAATAACAAAGGGACCCTGGTGGTGCAGTTGCTATGTGCTTAGCTATTAAAGGAAAGGTGAGTGGTTCAAACCCACCAACTTCTTCACAGGACAAAGATGTGGCAGATAGCTTCCATACATAATTTATGCCTTGGAAACCCAATGGGACAGTTCTGCTCTGTCCTACAGGGCAGCTGTGAGTGAACTTATCACCAATGCCCCAGGAGATCATTCAGCAGGACAATCAACTCCCATGTGATCAACCACCTCTGAAAACCCACTGGACGGTCAACTATGTGCCTGATCCAACTTGACGGCATATAACCTAACAACAACATGAGCAATGAGTTTGTGTTTTGATTTTTAATAAGCGAAGAATTGGAACTTGAAAAGTCCATAACATGCATTTAGAATTTCTAATGTTTTTTAGATCAAAATTTTTGAGGGTGAAACCAGGCTACTCCCTGGAGGTGAGGATTTTGAAGCTCTGTCTCACATATTTTGACATGTGGTCAGGAGGGACCAGTCCTTGGAGAAGGACATCATGGTTGGAAGGATGGAGGGACAGTGCAGGAGAGGAATATCCCAGATGAGATGGGTTGACTCAGTGACTGGAGAAATGGGATTAGGTCTGTTGGAAATGATGAGCTTGGTTCAGGATAGGGCAGCTTCCAGAGCTAATGTACACGGGACTGCTTTGATTTGCAGGCAACTTGATGGCACATAACAACAAGAAGAAGCAAAATAACCATAACATGAGAAAACAATTAAAAGAAATGTCTCCCTTTGAACCTTAGCCTCTAAATATTGTTGTTGCGATTTGGTGGCATCAAGTGGATTAAAATGCATAGGGACTCTATGAACAATGGATCTGAACCTGCACCGTCCTCATGATTTCAGAAATGCCTGAGCCCATTGTTACAGTCACTTCTTCTGTCAATCCTTCTTGTTGAGAGGCTTTTTCTAATCCTCAGCCTTGTCCAACATGATGTCTTTTCCCAAAGCCTTTGTAGAAGGAAATACACACTTGATGATTCTTTTTCTGTTGCTGTTGTGCTGAACTCTGCCTCTGCTTGCAAATGCCCTCAGGCAAGCTCCAGTATTAGGTATTGAATTGTGCTCCCCAAATTATGTGTTGCAAATTCTAATCCCTCTATCTGTGCCTGTAATTAGATTAGAGAATAATGCTTTCTCTGCAGTGTTAATGAGGCCATTACCAATGCAGCAAGTGTTTCTGAGATATGAAAGAGCAGATTAGCCACAGAAGCAAGAAAGAACAAAAAAGAAGATGTCACTCAAGATCTGCAAGGAATACACAGTGTGGAGAAGCTCACGTGACAGAGAATTCCTGTACAGACAGGGCCTCTTCCTAGACTTGGTGCCCTGAATTAGGATTTCTGGCCTTCTATACTGTGAGAAAATAAGTGTGTGATATTACTATTCTAAATTTAATATTTTGTTACTAAAAATCAATATTTTGTTATTAAAATAATAAATTTTCTATTTTGGTATTAAAACCATCCACTCATAGTATTTCTGTTTCCAGTAGCTGTGAGAATCTCTCAAAATGCAGACTCATTGCTGTTGAATCATAACTGACTCAAAGCTGACTCTTCAAGTAGGTTTCCAAGGCTGTAATTCACACAGGAAGAGACAGCCTTCTACCTCAGAGCTGCTGGTGGATTTGAACCACTCAAGAGGCACAGCCTTAGCGTTCATAGTGCAACACCCTATGGACTAGTTCACTAAAGCTGCCTCCAGGAGCACTGGATAGCTAACGAATCTGCAGCATAATTATCTGATCCTGTGAATCCATTCCTGAACACAAATCTCTTACTATGTGGAGCAAGTGAACTGAATTTAATTGTTGAATTGGGCCTGTTGCTTGGAGAGGCTATTCTTTGGAGAAGAACATGATGTTGGGAAGGATGGAGGGTCAGCAAAGGAGAGGAAGACCCTTGACTAGGTGGATTGACACAGTGATTGCTACAATGGGTTCTTGTGTGTCAGGAAGTGTGAGGATGCAGCAGAATAGAACAGGGTTCAGATCTTTTGTTTATAGGGTCGCTATGAGTTGACTTGACAGCACTTAACAACAACAGTATTAATTATCTGGGCATTTTTCATATCCTTAATGATGTGCTGACTATACTTTTTTTTGTCTTCTTTCTGTCTGTTCATCATACAAACTAATTTCCATCCTCATGTTTCAGGATGTCGTCGATATAGTCAACCATGTCCTTAATTCAGCATTAATAACAAACTGGACAGTGTTGCTGCAGGAAGAAAAACGGGCCAGCTCACGGTTGCTGGAAACATTAGAGAATATTAGCACTCTGGTCCCTTCCACTGCGTTGCCTCTGAATTTTTCTCGGGAATTCATTACCTGGGAAGGGATTCCTGTGACCAAGGGCAAACTCAATAAAGGTTACAACTATTGGACTGAAATGTTGATCCCAAATGCCTCCACTCCTATTAGAGGCCAAGTGTTAATTGGGTCTGAGCAATTCCACGAGTTCCTTCCAGCAACAATCATCAGCATGGCCTCGTTGACCCTGGGGAACATTCTACCCATCACCCAGAATGGAAATGCTCAGCTCAACGGGCCTGTGATATCAACCATTATCCACAATTACTCCATAAACGAAATCTTCCTGATTTTTTCCAAGATCGAGTCCAGCCTGGTCCAGCCTCGCTGTGTGTTCTGGGATTTCAGCCGTTTTCAGTGGAGCAACGCAGGCTGCCACCTGGTGAATGAGACTCGGGACTCGGTGATGTGCCGCTGTACTCACCTGACCTCCTTCTCCTTGCTGATGTCACATTTTGTCCCCGCTGCCACCATCCCCGTGGTGCAATGGATCACCTACGTGGGGCTGGCTGTCTCCATTGGAAGTCTCGTGTTATGCCTGGTTATTGAAGCTCTGTTTTGGAAGCAGGCCAAGAAAACTCCCATCTCACACACGCGTTATATCTGCATGGTCAACATCGCCCTGTCCCTCCTGGTTGCTGATATTGGGTTTTTTGTTGCTGCCTCTGTGGACATTACGGCTGACCCTTCTGGATTCTGCGTAGCTGCAGTGTTCTTTACGCACTTTTTCTACCTCGCCCTGTTTTTTTGGATGCTCATGCTCGGCCTTCTTCTGGCTTATCGGATCATCTTCGTGTTCCATCACATGACCATGCCTATGATGGTGGCTATTGGGTTCTGCCTGGGCTATGGGTGTCCTCTTGTTATATCTGTCATCACCGTTGCGGTCACACAGCCTAGTGACAGCTACAAAAGGAAAGATGTGTGTTGGTTGAACTGGTCTGATGGGAGCAAGCCTCTCCTGGCTTTTGTTGTTCCTGCCCTGACGATTGTGTTTGTGAACTTCCTGACAGTACTGTTAGTTCTCCTGACGCTCCGGAGGCCAAGTGTTGGAGAAGGAAGGAGCCGCGATGATAAGGCCACTGTCATCCGCATGGGGAAAAGCTTGCTTATTCTGACACCTCTGCTGGGGCTCACCTGGGGCTTTGGCATCGGCACCATGGTGGACAGCCAGAACCTGGCTTGGCACGTGATTTTTGCTCTGCTCAATGCATTCCAGGTAAAAAGAACCAGAGTAATCCATTATGTCATCAGGTAATTAGAATAACTTAGGATGATCCCAGTTACTAAAGCCACTCTGATTGCCGCCTCACTGTAATTAAAAATGCAAGAAACAAAAGTGAAAAGGAAGGGGGGGGGGAATCACCCATTTTCCCCTGATGGTGATTCTTATGCTGAAACAGAGTATTTTAATTCTCCATCTCATCAGCAATTCATTCCAGGGTTCAGGTACACATAACGTCTTCTTGCTGCTGGCTAAATGAATTGTGTGCATGTGTGTTTGTGTGTGTGTGTGTGCATGCATGCACAGGCATGGGTGGGGGGAAGCACACAGAAAAGGGACATAAATCAGGAGGATTTGAAGGCTCTGGCTCAGAGCAAATCCCTAGAGTGCAATAGAACTGAGGCTGGCAAACACTGACTAACAATCTGGTTTTGTAAATAAAGTTTTATTGGAATGCAGCCTTTCCCATCCTTTTACATGCTGCCCATAACTGCTCTCTGCTCTAAATTTGTATTAAATTTGACAGAGATTATTAAATATAGCCTGCAAAGCCCATACCTTGGCCAACCCTTGTTGCAAAAGATTGATATTGCATGTCACAACTAGCATGTTTAGAGACTAGTAAGATAAATTAATTTTTATGTTCTGATGAACTTGGAAGAGAGCTTTCAAATCTGGTTCACTATACGTCTTCCCTGACTACTTCTGAACATTGAAGACTCAGGGAAGGGTTTATTTGTATGTAGGAGCTAAATAAATCCGGGCTCAAATATGTCACTTTACCAGTTGTGTGACTTTTAACAAATTACCTAGTCTCTGTCCTTCAATTGCTCTGTTAAATGTTGTTAATAAAAACAACATTGCAGAGTTAATGAGAGCATGAAATAATTTAGCACTTGGTAAAATACTTGGAATGGGGTAAATGCTCAGTGAGTGTTTTCTGCAAGCAGCTGGCCCTCTGTAGACTCCAGACACCAGTTAACTTTTAGGGGAAGTAGTATGTGCTCTTGGTGAGCAGTAGCTAACACTTAACTCTAAATGTCTGTGGTTCTAATCCATTAGCTGTGCCATGAGAGAAAGTTATGGCAGTTCTCGTCTGTCTATAGGGTCTCTGTGAGTGAGGATCACTCAATGGAATTGCGTTAGAGATAACAATTATGAAGAATACACATCTAAAAGTCATACTTTGTAGGGATGGTGTGAGGGAGAGAAACAGCAGGATTATGGTGCTTTGGTGTCTAAAGAGATACTCAGTAAAACTATTTTGATGGAGAAAAAAAAGGTGTTTTGATTGAAAAGAAAATGTTAATATTTAAGAAGATGTCTTTGAAGGATTCCCTGCATTTAATGGAAAGTTCGCATAGGTCACCTCCCTCTCTGTAGCCAAAGGATTGGACTTCAGCTTCTGCTCCCATCATAAGATGCTCAGCAAACATTTATTAAATGACTGGTCCAAAGCCAACTATGATAGACAAGCAATGGCAGCTTCTCATTTCAGCACGGGGATGGTACAGTAGGAGGAAACCAGTTTCCACAGGCATTTAAGACTTATTTCACATAATCACTTATTTATACATTAAAGAATTGTGTTTTGCCAGGCACTGTGGAAATCAGACAAGAATACAAGCTTAATGGCGAATGCTATATTGTTTTATTCTATACAAATTCTGATAATCCTGACAAGATTTACAAAATACATAATCCTTTTTTTTTTTAGGGTTTTTTTATCTTATGCTTTGGAATGCTCCTGGATAATAAGGTATGTGTGGCCTTTCCTCTCTTCCTTCCCAGTCCAGGCATCTTTAAATCCCTTCCTATCAATTCTGAGGTTTCGTTTAAATAATCAGAGGACCGGGCTATGGGTACCTTTTTTAGTAATATTCTATAATTTACAAGAGGAAGATTTAACAATGTGAATGAAGGATAGTGTGAAACACAATGGATATGAACTCTGTAAGCAAATCAACAAAATAAAATGTTTTAAAAAGGTTTAGTCAAACAACAAAAGAACTAACTAGTTGATGATATAAAGCAAAAAGAACTAATCACAACGTGCAGCATGAACACTATAGACCACACTAAAGGGAATAGTTTTATCTCTCAGTTTTGTGCCTTACATTAGGCTTGGATAATAATTCAACAACAATGATCTTCATTAGCAGTTAATTCCTTTTCGTTCCTTTAGTTCATTTAGCTGCCTGCTTTGTTGTTACTTGCCTTTGTGTCAATTAGGATTGATTGTGACACTATCAACGACACATCTGAACCTCATCCGATTCTGTGCCATCTTCACCATCTGATATGCTTGAGCCCAGGGTTAAGAGTCACTGTGCCAATCCACCTCCCTCGGGGTTTTCCTCTCTTTTGCTGGCCCTTCACCTTTCCAAACATGATGTCCTTTTCCAAGTGCTGGTTCTTCCTAACAACAACAAGCTCAAAGTATGTGAGATGAAGCTTTACCATCCTCGCCTCCAATAGCACCCTGGTTGCACTTTCTCCAAAACATACATATTCTACCTTAATAGTTGCAACATTGTTTTGTTTTGGGGGTTTTTTTGTGTGTGTTTTTTTTTTAGTTGCAGCATTTTTAAAACAATTTTAAATGACTGCTAATATAAAAGAAAATGCTTAATGAAAGACAATTTAGATGAGCATCATTGTGAGCCGGATTTGACTTCTGCCCTTCAAGTCCACTGTTAAAGAGGGGGAAATTTTATAGCCTAAATGAGAGGGTTAAAGGAGATAACTTAGCATTTAGCAAACTATCCACACAGTAACTGCTCAGTGTTCCCTGAAAGCAGTTTGTCCCTTGTATATTTCAGGCACAAGTTATCTTTTCATTAACCAGCAATGGTTTGATTTTCTTTAAAAGAGAGAATATAAAATGGAATGTGTTTCATTACTTTATAAAACAGTGAATAACTCTGTTGAGAAACCTCAAAGTAGCTGATCAAGGAGCCTTTGTCTTAATGAGAAGATAAGAATAATTTGTCATCAGTATAATTGTCAGACATGTACAAACATTGCTTACAAAGACCAATTTATCACACTTAATTGAACGAAATAATTTCCTTGTTTGCACTAGACATACACTTAAGAAACTCTTAATGTTAAAGATAAACCTCATTCAGCTGTTATTGCCAATTACTGATGTCTGGAATGAATTGCTATAGGTCTTGGCAATATTGTTCTTTACCTAGCAGTCATTTTGTTCATAAGCATAGGGTCTAAGAAAAGAAGTCCTGATATCAAGTATCTACAAAGTCTGTTAAATGCTCCTTAGAACTACTCTTGTAGTAAAAATTTTAATTATGTAGTTTTGCTTTTGACTGGACTGCATATGATTGCATATGTATATCTCCTCAACTTTTTTTTTTATCCTTATAGTTGCGACAACTTCTATTAAACAAATTGTCCCCTTTAATATCTTGGAAGCAACCATCAAAGGTAATTATCTCCCCTGGCTGTGGATCCAATGCGTGATATTCTAATTTTGCGTTTTTCTCTTATGTAGTCCTGAAACAGGCACATTTTTGCCTGAACCCTTAGAGGTTCTTTCACTATTGTATTTCTGGGAGCAAATACTGTATCTGGCACTTGACGGGTACTCAATAGAAAGTTGGTGAGTGAGTGAGTGAGTAAGTGAGTGAGTCAATGTGAAGGCATGGAACCTGCAAGAATGCTCAGGCATGGAGGTCTCTGGGTACTTAGTGAACACTTTTGAACATATGAGTGGCTTCTCTCTGCCTTGCCTTCTACAGTTTTGAACCAGTAGGACCCTCTGCCTGCTTCCTGACTTCCCCAGCAACTATGCTTTCTTCTTTAGAAGGTGGTCTTGATGAACTTCTAATACACAAAGCATTCTCTAATTTTTCTCTCCTAAGCTGGTACTTTATCCTTTGAAATTTTAGTTCTATAAGCTAAAACGCTCAAATGAAAATGCAAAAATTCCTATTTCATTCTTTGCCCCACAGGTGAATTCTGTATGTTGTTGTTGTTAGATACAGTCAAGTCCACAATGACTCCTAACCACATTATGAACAGCAGAACAAAATTTTGCCCTAACGTGCACCGTCCTCAGGATCTGTATGAGGAAAGTTAAATTAGTAACAAATGTACTTAGATGCGTATTCTTTTCAAGCCCCTTCAGTAATTCATTGACCTATTATCAGAAATGGTTCTAAAGTAGAGATTTCCCAGCTTGAGATGAGTTCATGATAGAACTGCATCCAAACCTCCATGGATGTTTAGATATAAATGTCAGTAAAGAAGATATGCACTCATATTAAACAAATTATTTTCTGGGTGTGCATTTTTGTCAAGAGGGCACTTCTATGACTTTGGGCACTGTGGCCTGTGAGTCGGTAGACCTGGCCCGTATTTGCTGAGTGTCACCAAGTGGCTGTGTGATCTTATGAAGGTCATATTTAGTTTCTTTGAGTTTTTATTTTCTAAACTATAGAGAACTAATGGGTCAAGCCTTCTTATTCCAGATGCTTCAAAAACCATGTCACTGACATCAGAAATCAGTGAAAATTGGCATTCTTTCATTGGCCTACCAATTGCATGTAATAAGTACCTTATTCTACTATCTTGATTTGCTTTCCTCATGACAAGTTCTGTGACAAGGGATGGAATATATTCCTTCTAATATCTTCAGTCCCTATTATAGCATCTAATATACAGTTTTTAGTCAATATATGATATCATGTAAATTAAAAGGATGAATAATAAGTTTTATAAACAGAAAAGTGATAGTGTGTCTAAATACCTTTCATTTTTTATGAGAAATTTTGGTAAATATTTTATTTCTATTTGATAAATGCTTTTGTTGTGTGCACCATCAAGTCAAAACCAACCCATGGCTGACCATCCCACGGGTTTTCAGAGGCAATTTGTTGCACTGGAAAAAAATTGCACATCCCCCAGAGGAGCAGCTAGTGGATTTGAACCATGTGCCTTCAGGATTGTGGTGTAGCTTCTTGCCACTAGGCCACTAACATTCCCTTGATAATTAAGTTTTTAAATTTTGAATGTTGTGCAGTCTCTAAGGAGCCTTGGTGGTAAACGAACTCCCCTGCTAACTAAAGTGTCAGTGGTTCGAATCCACTAGGTGCTCAAATGGGGAAAAGACTGACAGTCTGCTTCTGTGAAGAACAGGCCTTGGAAACCCTCTGGGATAGTTCTACTTTACGTTAAGGGGTCATTATGACTTTGAATAGATTGTGAGATTGGCATTCTCTCTGCATCAATGACTAAAGAATTATTCACAATTTGAATGCTAATGTGGGCAAGAGTGATACTCAAACCAATTTTACCTGGAAACCATTTTTCACTAATGGTACTACTTGTCTTCCAGGGTTCCTCTTCTGGTGATGAAGACATAAAATTATGTATGCACCTACCAAAAAGAATAATATCTACCTTAAGATCAATTTCTGGGCACTCTGGTTGTTTTCTGGTTAAGAGGTCATGCTGCCAACACAAAGACAGGTGGTTTATAATCCACCTACTGCTTTGTGGGAGATGTGATGGTTGATCTCCTCCTATGGGATACACGGCCTCTGCAAACCCAACCAGGGTCAACCAGGAGTCAGTTCAGTGCCGACTTGAGGGCAGTGAGTTGATTTGTTTTGTAAACCCTTTTCTAGAGGTTGTCAAAACATAAACACAACATTGACTTAGAAACAAGTTAGTGAGAATTAAATAGCTGAAAGCAGAAGGAAGGAAAAGGAAGTGGTCATTCTAATTTCTTGCAAAAGATGAATGTACTATGTGGACAGAGTAAAGTTCTTGAGTGAATCATTAAGTAAAGATATGCAGCCCGTCCTTAAGAGAATACTATAAATATCCAAAATGACTTCTTTTTCTTTTGTCCAGCAGAATCCATCTGATTTATGTCCGAAACCCAAATTCTCGAACCCTTTCAACCCATGGCAACACCAAGGTAAGTGATTGTAAAATGAAAAGTAATAAAAGGTGGAAAGAGAGAATACAAACATAACCCATGGATAATATTTACTGCCAATGTTTATTTTTAAATTAACCTCAGAACCATGAGAGTATAAGCCACCCATGTATCCAAAGTGCATCTGAATTGTAGGCTCGAGGCTGATAGACAACTTGAGGGGTTTGATGCTTATGGAGACCAGCAAGTGTCACTTTTTAGCTGCATCACCATTTACTTTCTGCTTTATCAGTTGGCTATGATATATACAGGCTAGTGGTGTCATTGAGTACAGGTAGACGAACACAAACCTTGTACTTACTGGAGAATCACTTTAGATACACTCTTTGTCTATGTCTATAGATAGCATGCATTGTCCCTATGTTCACACACTGGCTATTACTAAAATAGATGATGTTCCCCTGTTTGAAGATCACTATTGAAACATTATAATTAGCTACAACATTGATGAAGGAGAAGCAGGGTGAGAAACAGACATATTACAGGGACTCAAGTCCCATTTCATGGCAAATTATACTAACATACTCATCCCAAGCTCACAGCAACCACATCGATTCCAACCATACCGACTCTCCTTTGGATTTTTAAGGCTATAGATCTTTATGGGAGGTGATTGTTTATCTTTCTCTCACCAAGTGGCTGGCGGATTTGGACCTCCAACTTTTCTGTTAGCAGCCTAACATGTTACATACGATACCATTGGGGTTCCTAACACACTCATGTGAATGCTGTTGTTGTTGTTGTTAGTACCATAATGAGTACCACTCATTATGACCCTATGAACAGCCAGTCTTAAATCTGCCCTATTCTGTGCCAACCTCATCATCTGTGACACACCACTGTCACTAGTGAAGCCACAGTGTCAATCCATCTCATTGGGAGTCTCCTTCTCCTTTGCTGACTCTCCTCCGTCTTTCCAAGCATGATGGATCCAAAGAATAGTGTCATGAGAATATTGTTAGGTGCCGCCCAGTAGCCTGTGTCTTATAGAGACCCAATGTACAACAGCTCTGAACCTTGCCCTGTCCTGAGCCAATCTCACTGACTCTGACACACCTACAGCCTTTACCCTAGTTATCATGTCAATTCATCTCATCTGGAGTCTTCCTCTCCTGTGCTTTCTCTCCACCCTTTCCAAGCCTGATGGCCTTCTCCAAGGACTGGTCCCTCCTGGCCATGTGCACAAAGTATGTGAGACAGAGCTTCAAAATTCTAGCCTCCAAGGAGAAACTTTGTTTCACCCACTCTAAGACAGACCTATTTGTTCTGCTGATGGTCCATGGTTCAAGACTCTTCAACAGCACACAACTGAAAGGTGTCAATTCTTCTCCTGTCATCCTTAGCAGAGAAAATGAATAACTGACTTTAGAATCCTATGAAGATTATTTAAATTGTACATAAAGTTCAGGTGTCTGAAAGATGCTCTCATTTGGAGCTCTTAGGTTCTTTTACCATTTCCACCAACCAGTCTGTGTGCTTTTTACAAGGCTCTTCCTTTCTGAGAAGTTCCTGGCCAGTGAAAATGATCTCCTTTCAGCCATTAATCTAAAGCTAGTTGAGCCAAACCTGCTTAGCAGCTTCTCAGAAGGAAACCTGGTAGTCTTGAGTAATCAAATGCGCAGTCAGGAAAACCCTTGGTGTTTGATAAGTAAACTAATGGACAAAATTTGGAAATAAGTTCATAGCAGCCGAGTTACCTTTTTGAACATCATTTCCTATTAAACTGAAACAAATATGTGATTAAAGATTTTTTCCCAACAATTTCATTTTATTTGGATTCACAGTCAACACCCATTTCAATTGCTTCAGATGCATCTAAAAGTTGGATAATGGGTAAGGGAACTAAAGAAGAATTGATCCCTTCCAATTGTGGTGTTGACTAAGAGCACTATTTTCATTCCCACCCCCATCCCCCCAAATAACGTTCTGTGGTGCAGAACATACTTTTATAACTCTCTCCAGCGATGCCTGGAACATGAGGCACTTCTCTTCTTACATAAGCAATCTCTGAAAAAAACCTAGCTTGGATAAAGCCGAAATGTTATGCGTATTAACGAGCCCCACTCCAGATCTTTTCCTGCCATCTTCCAAAAACACTCGGCAGTCATAAGAACAAGCATTTTTACATTGTGGTTCAATGTTTGATTTTAACACAGGAGCACTAATTTGCCTCCTCATTTTCTCCTCTCAGGCACGTATGCATTTTCTCATACTGGAGACTCCTCAAATGACATCGTGCTGACTCAGTTTTTATCAACGGAATAAGACCAGAAACCACAAAATCGAGGAAAAATATTTGGAACAATTTGATATTTAGAGTAAAAGTCAGGGAAGAAATTATGTGCAACGTTAGATGAAATTTCTGGTTTTTGAGTCTGAAAAGAAAAGAAGGCGTTTTTAGGGGCTTTCTCAATGCCTTCTTTATTTCAGTTAAATGCAAAGAAGATTTCAGAGAAATTATTCCATGAATGCAGAAGAATCTATGTTGTTGGAGTTTGTTACTTCTTCCTGCCAAATATAGCTGACTTTTTAAAAATCGTAAAATAGTATTATTCATGTGGCATTGCGCCAGTCTTCCAGAAATGCCATGACACCACCATCTTTGAAAAAGTGATGGGCTGTATTCACTTTCTCATCAAACAGTCATTGTTGACAATTTCTTAGAGAAAAACTTTCTTTTCTCCCATTTTCTAGTGGGATTTTCTGTTTTGGTCGGGTCATTTAGCTTGAACATTTCTTCAAAAATAAACACAAAAGTCTGAACTTCAGGCAGCTCTATGGTAATTTTTTTAGAAAGTATTGTGTTACTGATGTGCACAGAGTGAGGTATTTTTTCCAGAAGATTTTCATCTGGTTCCCAGCCTGGTGAAGTGGGCCCAGGAGATAACCTAATGTAGAGGTGAGGAGATGGAGAATCCAGAACGGACATGACTTGCCCCGAGTTACGAAGCTCATGACGAGATTTTTGAGCCCTTTGATTTCTAGTTCATTTCTGTAACCAAGGAAACTATCTAATGATCCTTAGGAATCTTTCTTTTTAAAATTATTTTTGTTTGATAGTGGTTTGCATATAAAATTCATATGCATAGTCTTTAGTTTATATGCATTATATTTCACTCATTCCTCTATTTACACGGTCATTCTCACATATTGGAAAAATTAATCTTTCTAAAGTCAGAAAGTAGTCCAGAACTCTACCTCTGTAATCAATGAGTTGAAGGTGCATATGGTTGTCGGCTTCCAGAGAGATGTCAGGAAACCTTTTGGTTTTCTTTCATCATGCATTTTAGGTATTTTTGGCAATTCCCTACATGTATAGAAATTGTCACATTTGGTGGAGATCTAGAGCAGCAAGATAGTACACACTTTTGTGAAGCGATAATCCCCTTCTGTTGGCCTAGTGGATAAAGAATTGTGCTGTCAACCCAAAGACAAGTGGTTCAAATTCTCCCGCTGCTCTGTGGGGGAAAAGTTGGGTAATCTCCTCTGAGGCCTCTAAAAACCTGCTGGAGGATCAGTTATGAGTGGGTTCCTACTCAACAGCAATGAGTTTGAGGGTGTATTGAGTGTCCTTCTATCATAATTGGCTCATCTGACTTTCTAATGTGCTCACGTGGCCCAGGAAAGCCAGGCTAACTCTGGTCAGTCCTCACTCTGATGGCTACCCATCCTGGAGATGCCAGTGTTCATTGCAAGATTTATTATTCTAGGGGCTTCTGCCAAGGCTTATTGTTCTAGAAGCTTCTACACCTCCTAGTGCTCCCAGTGCTCACAGCATCAGTGCTACTACTTCCCTCCAGGTCTCTACCTCACCTCGCCACTGGATCCAGAACACATCTGGTTGTTCTAATAAATCTACAGTTCTGTCTTTGAACTTGAGTCTTTAAAAACAAGATACATTGTCCAGAGAGCCTTGACATCATGTAAATGTGACTTCATCTCATCAGGCAAACACGCTTTCCTCTCTGAAGCCTGAGGAGAGTGGGCATCAGAAACCTCAATGTTCAAGGTAGGATGGAAGGAGAAGGAGAAAAACTAAAAGGAGGAAAAATGTCAACTAGTGAAGAAAGATGGGAGAAAAATGGGCAGTTTCCTCTGGTGCAATTAACTGCCTCTGAAAACCTCCCAGAGGGTGAAAGGGTCAGTTCCAATTTGACAGTACACAACAATAAAAACAAGTGAAGAAATATGTGAAAAGCACACAAGCAACACAAAGCAGGACACAAGGGAGGGAGAAGGAATATTGAGAACATCTTAGTTGTTTAAAGAGACCAAGATGATACTATGACCTGGGCTTATTATGGTACATATACGGTGTAGAGGGAAAGGCCCTCAGAATGGGGATTGATATGGTGGGTGTAACAATGGGATTATTGTGAGGACAACATGGGAGTGGGACAGTGCTTTGTTCTGTTGTAACATGGGGTCTCTCTGATTGAGAACTGAGTTCATGACATCTAACAACAAATAACAAATCAAGGAAGTGATATTCCATCAGTTGGCCATATACTATTGATTAGTAAGCCGTAGTTCATGGCCACACTTAGCGGGATACACAAAGAGATCACAGGTGGGAGTGGGCTGTCTTCAATATAAACTCTTTAAACCGTAAGGGTTTAAAGAATAGAACTTGATTGTGTTACAATATTGTTGTTGCTGTGAGGTGCCATCAGGTTGAGTATAACTCACAGTGACCCTATAAACAGGTGGCCTGAACCCTGCCTGCCCTATCCTGTGCCATCCTCATCATCTTGGAGACAGTAGAGCCCATTGATGAAGTCATCATGTCACTTCATCTCATTGAGGGTCTTCCTCTCCTTCTCTGACCCTCCATCTTTGCAAGCAAGCATGATGTCCCTTTCCAAGGAATAACATGTCCAAGTATAAAAGATGAATCTTCACCACCTTTGTCTCCAACTAACACTCTGGCTGTACTTTTCCCAAGACATTTCTGTTCTTTGGGCTGTCCATGAGATATTCAGTACTCTTCTCCAGTATTATAATTCAAAAGCATCAAGTATTCTTTTGTCTTATTCATTGTCCAGCTCTCTGGTACGTGAAGATGACAGAGAAAACCATAACCTGAATCAGGCACACTTTAGTCTTCAAACTAACATCATTGCTCTTTAGCATTTTGGAGAGGTCCCCAACAGCAGACTTGCTCAATGCATGTCTATTGACTGCTGCTGGTAGCAAGAATGCTGATTTTAGATCCAAGCAAGATGAAATCACTGACAGCCTCAATCCTTTCTCTATGTATTGTAATGTTGAGTGTTGGTCTTGTAAAGTTGCAATATTAGAGAATACAAGTTCAAATCACAGCACTGACTGTAGAAGACGGTTCTTTCTTATTGATAGCCTCGGCTATTACTTGGCATCCTTGCCTTGTTAGTTTCCATCATGTTGTTGTTATGTACTGCTGAGTCAGAACTGACCCATAGTTCACTCTCCAGTGGGTTTTCAGAGGCAGTTAATCAACAAGGGAGGAGACTGCCTATCCTTCTCCTGTGGAGCAGCTGGTGGATTTGAACCAGGTGCCTTGGAGATTACAGCTCAGCTTCTTACTAAGCCACCATAGCTCCCTCTTCCATCACAGTGACCCCATAAATGAAAGATTGAAGTCTAGCCCTATCCTGTGCTCGCCTCATGATCTCTGTCATGCTCTAGCCCATTGTTGTAGTCACTGTGTGTTTCATTTCCTTAGCCGACCCTCTACTTTTCCAACCATGATGTCTTTTTCTAAAGACCAGCACCTCCTGACAACATGTCTGAAGCATGTGAGATGAAATTTCACCATCCTTACCTCCAAGGAGCACCCTGGTCGCCTTCCTACATAATGTTGTTCTTGTTGATTGCCGTTGACTCGAGCATGACTCATAGGGACCCTATGAACAAAAGGCCCGAAACCTTTCTATAACTATCAACATTTATCAAAGTTCATAGAGTTTCCAGAGGCATTGCTGTACCCTATGGAAAAAAAATTTGCAATCAGGATTGGAGGAGGATTAATCAACATCCTGTGTTATACAGATGACACAACTGAGGGCTTGAAGTGATTGCTGAAGAAATCAAAGCCTGCAATATAGCTTTCACCTCAACATCAAGAAAATAAATTGTTCACCACTGGACCGATAGACAACATCATGATAATGGAGTAAAGATTTAAACTGTCAACAATTTCATCTTACTTAGATTCAAAATTAACATAGTTGGTACCAGCAGTCAGGAGATCAGGAGACATAGTGGATTGGAAAAGTCAGTAGTCAAGAAACTATCCAAATAATTGGAGAGCAGTGATGTCACTTTGAGGACTAAGGTGCTTCTGATTTAGGCCATGGTTTTTCAAGTCATTTGCTATGTATCTGAGAGCTGGACAATGAATAAGCATGATAGAAGCAGAATTGATGCCCTTGAGTGGTAGTGTTAGAAAAGAGTAGTGAATATCCCATGAAATGGGTATGTCTGGGAGAAGGTGCAGCCACAGTGCTCCTTGGAGGCAAAGATGACAAAGGTTCATCTTAACGTACTTTGGGCATATTGCTAAGAGAGGCTATTCCTTGGAGAGGGATACCATGTTTGGAATAATGGAGGGTCAATGAAATAGAAGACCCTCAACCAGACGGATTAACACAGTGACTTCTACACTGGTCAGAACTGATGAAGATGGCATTAGATAGGACAGAGTTCAGATCGGTTGTTCATAGGGTAGCTAGGAGTCGTACTTGTCTGGACAGCACCTGACAACTTACTATACTTACCCTCATCAAGCTACAGGGGGCGGCCTTGGACCAAGAAATAAATCCCGGACTACTTGCTCAAAATTAAATATACCTGAGAATCTCTTTGAACTTTTAGGGAATGAAAGGTTTTTTTAGTCCCACTACTCTAATTTGGAATAATTTTCATTGTTGCTGCTGTGTTTTGTGTAATGAAAGAGATTAGAGAGCTAAGAACATAATACCTCCCTTTCCAGAAAGCAAATAATAACTCTTGTTTCCTGGGTTTATGTCCAACAGTGCTGTAAACACTGGAAGCCACTGCTAAGAAAAACAAAAAGCCATCCTGGTTGGTGGTGGATTTTTCACCTGCACGAAAACCAGTGCCTGATTTAAATCCGGGCTACAGTAATGAGTTTCTCAACCAGCTTCCGCAAATACAGAGCTAATTTAGGTGCAAAATAAATTGGAATATGCTGTGCTTTTCTGCTTTACCTCCTACTTTGGGAAGAAATAATTAGGCTAATTCTATACAGTGTTTTGGGTTTT